TGATGTCAGTATCAGTTCACATAGATCCAGTATCGATGTCACTCGCCTCAATGCAAGTGCGTAAATGACGTTGACAACCTACAGACCTACTGATGTTCAAAGTTCTGTAGCAAATATTTTGCATTTACATCAGCTAATTGAGTACTTATCTTTAGAAAACTAGCCGGTACTATTAAAACAATGCAATAGGCATACACAATAGTTCATTTATTAAGATAAAAGTAAGATTTTCAACTCAAGATCAACAATTGAAATGGCCTTAACTCCATTTTGTAAATAAACCTTGTAAGGCCATTTTCTCGCTAACCGAAACCTTCATTCGCAAACCTAAACCACAATCGGGTAGAGGAGAATTTCCCTTACCTGTTCATTATGTTGGTTTGCCTTTGCGAACGTCGGTTCGCGAGAAAATGGCCTTAAAAGGTTTGATTACAAAATGGAGTCAAGGCCATTTCAACTGTTGGTCTTGAACTGTCCCCTAGAGATCTTCATATGAATGCCTATGTCAATGCCGTACCACCTGATATCATGTTTGCTACGATTATCAGTGTCGACAGTGAAATGCAATGCTAGAGCAATATCTTATTTCAATTACCATTGTTGAGATGCAGCACTGATCGAAACTGATCCTAGAGACCCCGATTTTTTAATTTCTTGAAGTTGAGGAAAAAGGAAGAACTTGAAACTGTCATGCATGCAGAACGGATATTCTTCGGTTTTTCTTCATTATTTAGAAAAATCAATTGCGTGGCTTTTCAAAGTTTCAGACCTCTTATGTTTGCAAACTTCAACGCCAGAACTTACTGAGCAACTAATACACAGCATGTTTGTATAGTCACTAGGCGGAACGCTAAATGGGTCGTTTGATCGAATTGTAAAGAGAGAGAGAGAGAGAGGCTGAACAAAGCAATTTTTTAATCTCGGTGTAAGAACATGTCTGAACACTTCGTAGTGCGATTCGGCCTAATCTCCCATTTTGAACCTATCGAACAGAAAACATCATCCATGATTTCGGCGTTAACAATTATGCATTTGGTACGATACTTTAGTTCAAAAACTACCGAACGAAGTCAATAAGAACACGTGATATGAATGTTTGCTCCCATTATTCTCAAAAACAGAAGAAGCACTCCGACCGAATCAATGTTTATGTTCATCCGATGAGCCGATGTGAATTCAATGGCGTTTCAATGCGTTAGACCGAGGTTTAGAATTCTCATGCCGAGTTTGGGATCAAGAAGCAGTGTTAGATTTTTAACAATATCTCAACAATTTGTTACTCTTTATCAAAGCTTAGGCAATAAAATTTAGAAGACATCTGCAGTAAAAACATTTTATTTAGTGAAAAATTCGTCCGAAAAATAGAGGCAAAGGGCGGGTTGTGCTTAGTAGGCCCTAAGAGATGAACCTGCCTCTGGCTGAAAGTCTCGTTAATAAAGGTAACCTAACCTAACCTTCGTAGGCCCAACATTAGATCAAAGCTCATATTCCATATGGAATTTTCAGGAGAATTTGAAAGGAATTAAATTGTTTACAAGATAAATGCTGAGAAGAATACCTACAAAATTCTGGTAAACAGTCTTATGGAGTTCTGACCACGATTCCATAGGAACTCTGAGATAATATCGTAAAGAATTCTGAGATGAATTCCTATGAATTGCTGAGAAAAAGAAAGAAATTTCAGAATTGAATTCCTAGGTTATTCTTAGAATAATTCTTCAACAACAGAACAACAAGGAGAATTCCTAGATGATTCTGAGGTGTGAAAATTGTATATATAGGGCCTTATTACGGGTGTCACTTCACGGTGAAAACGAAGTGAGACCAGTTGTCACTCACGGTGAAGTGATTACCGTGTAAATCAAATGGGAATCACTTCACCGTGAGTGATAAGGGCCATAGAGAGTAGAAAGCGAGCAAGGAGATCTTTGAGGAAGGTACGAATCGGGTTGATCATCTCTCTTTAGCAAACTCCCCAGTTGGAGAGGGCAGTTCTATCGATTTTTACCGCACTCATGTCGTCATCTGAAGGGAGGCATCTAGTCGTAGGTTTAGGAATTGCGGCTATTGTTACCTCTACTACAGTATGTGCTCCTGTCATCGTCGACTTGACGATCTCGAGAAGGGGAGGTGCTGCTACTGTACCTTTCGACCAATGACAGTATGATTGATGGTAAGCTCCCATGTACTTTAACTATTTTGTTTGTATTACTTCTGCGTGAAGTTAACGATTTACATAGTTGAAGATGCTAAGCGCCAAATAACAGACTTAAAGTTGTAATTTTATACGATAGATGGAGGGAGCTTACCATCAATCATACTGTCATTGAAAGGTACAGTTGCAGCACCTCCCTACCCGTGTCTCCTCGAGATCGTCAAGTCGACGCCATTCCGCCAAATGGAACTCCGCTAAATGTCTAAATGTACTTCAACGAAATGGGCCATTCCGCGAATTGGCGGTTTACAGTTGTGCTGATGTCAGAAGTTTAATTTTAACAACCTTTATAATTGGTTTGTGAAAAAAATTAAAATTACAACTTAAAGGTAATTTAAGTGACCATTTATTTTATTCATTTTTTCCGGTTCTCCTGGCGAAACCCCGGTTTTCCCAGTTAGTTTTCAAATTCCCAGATATTTCTCAGTTCGCTGGCCACCCTGCTTTATTGTTAGCGGGGTAAATAAGATCTTTGAGCGATAAAATTTCAGACAACCGATGCCCTAAAACATGAAGTCAAAAGAAAGAATCTGCCAAACTCACTTATTAAGCCATTTGACTTGCTGATGATAAATCTACACCAACAATTGAAATAGGCGGAACAACCAAACGTAAACAATGGCACATCGACGCAATCGCACACCAACAGCTGAAAGAGAACACTTCCTTTATCGTATGGCTTTGATAATTTACGTGGGTGTAATTTGAATCTCGAGAAAGTTGCGTTTAAAGCCATTGTTTACGTTTGGTTGTTCGACGTATTTCAATTTTTGGCCTAGAAATGATAGGACCAACATTCACTGTAACAAAACGCCTGCACAAGGTAACGAGTTCTCCTAGCAATACACACATTCCATGAAGTTCTTCACCGTGACTTTTCAACTACATTTCTTATTTTCTGTGTTGTTATTACATTGAAATTAGGTGCCAACATTTCAAAAGGTCAAAATTGCTTTTGTCAACAACCGCTGTAAGCGTCGATTTGTCGCGAATCAATGCTCACACATGCAAAGTAACGACACCATCAGGTAGACGTGTTTCCTCTATCAGCTAACATCGTTAATTTGCAGGAATGAGCTTTTATTTGCGAGAGATTTCCGTTGAAGTCATTAGGTCTGTTCCCGTACTTGCTTCTCTGTAAGATTCTGTACAGCAATAAGCAAAAGTATGCAGCAACTTCACCATATTATTTTCTTACAGCCAGGCTTGCTTCCACTCACTTGCTATAAAAACATGATTTTCTGAATTTTGAAATCATTAGATGTTATAATCATATTTTGTACTTGTTAGATACAAGAAGAGGTTGAAATGCAAGTGTTTGACACATTAAACCTGTTAAATTCGCTTTCAGATAGTCACAATCAGTGATTTTACGACTCGTGAGCGCTCACTTTGAGTGAACGCTCACGAATCATAAAATCGCTTATTGTAACACTCTGGTAGCAAAATAGACAGGTTTTATGAGTCAAACACTTGCCTTTCATCTTTTTCTTGTATCTAACAAGCACAAAATATTATTATAACATCTAATGATTTCAAAATTTAGAAAATCATTTTTTTTATAGCAAGTGAGTGGAAGCAAGCCTGGCTGTAAGAAAATAATATGGTGAAGTTGCTGCATACTTTTGCTTATTGCTGTACAGAATTTCACAGAGAAGCAAGTACGGGAACAGACCTATTGTTTCCAAAAGCAGCTTCGTTCTAATGTAATGTTGGCACCGTAACAAAGATTACTTTCGACAAAGCCTATATTCATAACTATTGATTGGAAAACAAAGTTAATCATGTGTACTGTCTATTGGTACACATAACATCACAATATCATGAAGTTTATTATAAATATTAAACGAAAAAGTAATCACGGGCCGAAATTCTGCGTGTCACGTTACCTGGAATGGGTCAATATGACTTTTGATCAAGCACGAGCTGAATTACACATAGCTTGTCACTGTTGTCAGGCCCAAACAAAGAGAAGCGAACACGTAAGCAAAAACACTTGTACAAAACCTGCAGGGATATCCGGAATCTTCTTTCAGTCTACAAGATCGCGTAACCAGCCAACGTCCTAATTAGTGTAGAGAAAAGACCTGCTGCGAGGAAGTTCCATAACAGGTCATCTCTTATCTCCAACGGTTGACTGAAAAGCGCCGAAAAATCTCATAATCCATCGATAAAAATAAACATTGGTGAATGACAACGAAAAGATCGATATAATAAGCCGGCCGGCTCGCTTTGAAGAAGAGCAGCTGGTCTCGTGAAACGTACCTACCAGCTGCAACGAATTGTTTTGATTGAAGTGTGGAAAGCATATTTTGCGCTAACCAATTTCGCGCGTTCTCGCTCGCCGAGCAATTTTCCCAATCATCTATAATGACTGGTGGTTATTTCTTTTTCTGTTTTGAAGTAGACGCTAGGTGGAATGCAATAGAGATAGAGATTCCGCTCGAGAAAGATTTTTGGAAGCACAACACAGTCCGCCTTGCCCCCGATGACCAGCCGATGGCAACATATGTTTTCCCTCCCGTCGCAATCATCAAACCAGGTGCGCTCCGACCTACGGTAACCAGATTCCAGTTCGATTTCCCTCTTTTCGCTCTAGCCGCCGTCGTTCCCCGTTAGCCCTCCTCCCCCCTCATCGGACAGGGGAGTCCAGCAGCTCGTCGGACTTGACAAGAAATGGAGAGAAAGAGAAGATACCGTGTGGAACGAGAAACGAACATTGAAGTGAAAATATAAGAAGTAAATAAAAAAAAATGAGTAAAGCCAAGAACGCTGAAACGCTTACATCAAAAGCTCTCCTCCTCCGCTGGTGCTGCTGCCGCCGGCGGTGCTGACGATATTCTGTATGAAAGACGATGTCGCTGCTGCCGCCGCTGCTGCTGCTGCTGTCGCTGTCGTCGCACCCCAACCAGTTTTTATTCGCTGCTGCTGCTGATGGTGATGTTGCTGCACTTGTAGTAGTGTCGCCGCCGCCGCCTGCTGCTGTTGTTGTTGTTGAAGCGGAGGTTGGAGGTACTGGTAGTGGTGGTGCTGGCGGTGCTCCCGTTCCAAATGTGGAAGAACTTGCTGCTGCTGCTGACGGAGAAGAGGATTACCGGAATCCATTTGCCGGAACGGAGCCCCAATCCAGAAGACCACCCTCTAAAATCACACTACTGCTTCTTTTCGCTCTTTGTTCTCACACACGCACTTTTTTTTTATTATTATTGCCGATTGCTTTTCTTTTCACTTGCCTTCTTCACTTTCTAACATTTCCAATCAGATCACAGATCGTTTAGCAGTTCCGCTCTATTTTTCCTACTGCTCCGACACACCGCACTGCTGAATATTCTTATTTTTATTTATAGACGCTTTAATGTCCGCCATTGTTGTAATAATTATTAACAAAAAAAAATGAGCCAAGTAAAAAAAGAGGAGCTGGGCATTCACAGTCAACTTATGGTGGACTAGTGCGACCAGCGACGACAAGAAGATGGTGGTGGAGTGAAAAATGCTATGCCTCCTGCTCGCGCGACTCGTCGTTTCAGTTCAGTTCAGTCTCGTCGCTCGGAGACCCGTCCCAGGTTCGGCTGCTCTCTCGTAACTTTCCTCTCCGGCCGTCTCCGGCTTGTAGTAGAACACTCACACAATCGTCATTCATACGCACAAAATAAAATCTATCTATCTCCCGCTGCTGCTGCTGCTGCTGAAGGGGGGCTCCCTTGCCGGAATTATCTTTCGATTTACTGCACAAGTATTATTACTAAGGCCAGTAGGTGCCTGCATGACATAATATGAGCGAATGACATCGTCTCATTATCTCAGCCGACGTAGGCAAGACATGGAAAATCATGCTGAAGAAAATTGATGCATTTCGATTGGATCTAGAGGTAACTTTATCTATTGACCAACTACCCGCATAAGCGGGAACCATAAATTGACCTTACCGATAATGGTTATAAATTGTTTATAATCCCTGCTAAACTTCAACTGAAATGGTTATGGAACTTTACATGAACGTTTAATGATAAAGTTTTAACCTTAAGTATTATAGTTTTTTGGAAGTGGACCTTACAAATAATGGGTTGTTAAGAACCATTACCATTCAAAATTCTGGTTTTCTCCATACATTTTCGGAAAGAAAACTATACTAATACCTTTTAACTTATGGTTTGATAACATTAATGGTAATGGTTATGGTAACCAGTAAGGTCCATGAATGGTTTTGTAACATCGATCAACTTTATGTGGAATATATCGCGAATTGGTTGCCTGTAAATTACTGATTACCAATTCACGATATATTTCACGTAAAGTTGAGCGATAATACAAAACCATTAATGGACCTTACTGACTACCATAACCATAACCATTAATGTTCTCAAACCATAAGTAAAAACGTTCTAATATAGTTCTCTTTCCGAAAATGTATGGAGAAAACAAGAATTTTGAATGGTAATGGTTCTTAACAACCCATTGTTTGTAAGGTCCGCTTCCCAAAAACCATAATACATAAGGTTAAAACTTTATCACACAAACGTTCATGTAAAGTTCCATAACCATTTCAGTTGAAGTTTAGCAGGGATTATAAACAATTTATAACCATTATCGGTAAGGTCATGTGATGGTTCGCGTTTATGCGGGTACTTCTTTAGAAGTATGGTATCCCGATTAGGTTAACCGTAATCCAGACACTACTTAGTCCAACATTTCGGAAGTTAATTATGAAGGCTAAATGTACACTAAATGCCACGTGAATTTGTATGATGGTTTAAAAATATCGTCCATGTTCAATATTCAATAAGTGGGTGTAATATCAACAATCAATACGAAAATAACAATTTGAAATTGGCTCACTACTTGACTAGCCTATTGGTCCCAAGCAAACGATTAACGTATCCCATTCTAGTCGGAATTCTAGTACTACACAATGTTTGTTTTGATTATCTATGAAAGTTTGGCAGATAAAATGAGGGGTTCGTGGATTTTCCTATGTTTCGAGGGATGCATAAAGTAGCTTGGGACCTTAGATAGTACTAGAGCTGAGCCAAAAAGTTGACCACGTTTCTTCGGGACCTTCTGGTCTTAGAGTTACCTCTATGGTAATATCAACAATCAATACGAAACTAACGATTTTAAATTGGCTCACCACTTTAGTAGCCTATTGGTCCCAAGCAAACGATTAACGTACCCCATTCTAGTCGAAATTTTAGTACTACTCAATGTTTGTTTTGATTCGCTATGAAAGTTTGACAGATAACATCAGGGGTGTGTGGATTCATGCAGAACATGCAGGGGTGAGTGAAATAGCTTGGGACTGCTTGGGACCGTTGTTCTGGTACTGAGTGAGCCAAAAATAATAATGATTTTTTTCGGGACCCAGTGGTCTTAGAGTTACCTCTATGGTAATATTGTGCATGCAATTGTAAGCTGATGCAGTGTTTTCGTTGGCGATACTTGAATTCCTATGTCACCAGAGGAGATTAGGACACCGGCTGTCGTAAATAGGACCGACGAACTTCAGTTAAGAGGTGGCAACTTAATTTTCATTTCAAAATTCCAGGGTTTTTACCGGTTATTTAATAATAAATCTAACTCAAAAACTCAACGCCTGCCGCCCTAAACAAAAAAGGCGTTTAGAAATAACCGTTAAGAGATAATCATATAGTTTTTTGGGCAGATTTGCACTACAATACGTCTACTTTTTAGAACAAAATATGAGATAAAGTCATGTTGATTAACATGGAATCATGAATTCGTATCAAATCAAAGAGTCTCACTTTAAAAAATAAAATAAGCCCTAATCTTGTTTTGGTACGACAGAAAATGCATATATCAATACAAGAGACCTGAGCAGAAGAAACGCAGTATTCAAAGTTCATCAAATCTCCTGGGAGTTTAGGTCTTGAAGTTCTATAAGCCAAAGATTATTTTGTGGAATACAAAGATGTGTTACCAAAATATTGATCATTCTCCAAATTGTCCTGGCGATAGTTTACAGGTTAATCGACATCTTGTTCGATGTCCTCTTAGTTTTTGAGCATTTTGACCTTCACGGAGAATCATAACATCATTTAAAATTATAAATTTTGTAAAAAAAATTGTTGGGTTATCTAAATCATCCCGAATATCTGATCTTGAAGTCCTGCAGACTCAACAAAGTATACGATGATTCGACTTAATGATAGAATGGGTAAACCTTCGTGAAACAGGCGAGAAACTGAAGGAATAAGATAAACATTCTCACCAACTGAACAATAAGATCTAAAATCAGTGAATGAGTCGTTTTTGGTACGGATTCCATCCATTTTGAATCGATTTTATCTACTAAAACATAGTAATTATATCTATCTCAATAACAGTATCACAATTATGTGTAAAACTGAGATTGATTTGGTCTATCTAGCTACCTTTTAATATATTTGAAAGCAATTTTCTCCATTCTGCGATCAACGAAGCGCGTCACTATAGTCAATTCAATTGATTCGGAAAACAAATCTTGAACAATATCAGTTATTTAAAATTCAGAAACTGTTGAAATCATTGAAACAAGTTACTTTTCCTGGTGGGTTATTAAAATTCCCAACTCTTTCCTGGTGAAAATAGAATCCCGACTTTTCCTGATTGACTTGCCACCCTGAATCCAGTTAAAAACGAAATCCAGATGCTAGTTTTCAAAGAAGTTTCTGTTTATTACTGCTAAAACCTTGATTTACGATTGCTAAAGAAACGTAACTATCATGAAGTTTATACATTTGAAAACGATTCTATAGTTCTAGAGATCTTGCTAACAAGAAAGAAACGTTTTACTTTATTTCACAAACCACCTGGATTCAAACTAATAATATTGAAAACATCCCCCATGTAATGGATGTAATGTCGACCTAAATGCCCCTAATTTGGGCCCATACATAAATTCAGCAATCGACTAAATTTTCGATAGCGACCAAAAATATCCATCAGTACCGTCCCAATGACGCGTTCATCTAGATAAAATTGATAAATAGCAAATTTTTAGCGATGTGCCCAATCTTAGATCCATAGGCCAACATTAGAGCCATTTCCCCTACATGAGAAAATTTTAAAGAGACTATTCCAGTTTTTAGATTATTGAACTTTTCAAGATTTAAATACAGAGTAATTTTCAAAATCTTTACTTTTGGATTTGGACAACATTTTATTGTTGTTCATTTATTTACTTAATAAGGCTCAATCGAATTAACTTTACAGAGCCTAGGATTCTTGTTTACTATAAACTACATCTTTAAACTATAGTCAAAAGGCACAACACAATAAACACATTATCTTTCGCTATCCAATAGGCCTCCTCCATCAGAACGGAAGCCGCTTCCAGTGGTTTCATTGTATAGCAGGCTCGCCAACGGAGAGAAGAACACTTCCTTCGCAGCAATGGACGCAAACCGTGGTCAGCACTCACATATTCATCACGAAACGGTTGCTTTCCAAAGTCGACGACGCATCGACCGAAAGAACTGCTGATGAAGAACAATGAGGAGGACCACACAATGGTTGCTGCCGAGTAAACAGACGATCCTGTGACACACATAGAGAGTGGTCTGCTTCTGTCGACAGCCGAGTGAACAATGGACAACATTTTTTGATTTTAACGCCTTGAAGTATTGTCTAGAGAACTTTGATAAGAAGGTCAAATGAATTTGGAAGAGAATTGTAGCGAAACAATTCTAAAGAGATTTTGAGGAGGATTCCAAAAGCATTTAACCAGAAGTTCCCGATAATTTTGAGAAGTATTTCAAGGAAATTTAAGGTAGCACTTATAGCAAAACCCAGAATCTCAAGCTAGTTCTGAATTCAAGGAATTCTAAAGCAAAAAAGAAGAAATTTCAGCATTCTAAGGAAATTCAGAGGACAATTCTAAGTGTACTGAACCTCCGACATAGTTCACTTTTTCCCGCCCATGGTTACTCTG